GCTGGCAGTTTGACACCCCTGCTTTAGTCTAATGGCAATTAATCCTTTGACAGGGATATATTACATGGAGGAGTATTAATTTAAGTCTATTGATGAAGTTAAAGCTGACTCTCCTTAGAATGCTGGCTAAGTCAATCCTAGCAGCCAAAATCCTTCTGAATTGCAAATGTGGGTCCTATCACTAGGACAACTTTTAGATTGCTAAGTCTTCACTCAACACTCTTGCACTAGCTAGTGACTTTGTTTTTTTGAAGCAGAGTCAACATGTTAACTGCTTTAATGTACTCTGAATCTAATACATTAAAAACAGGAAACAGACTTTAAATCTGCCAATGGTTGGTGGAAAATTAGTAGTTATTTATAATTTTCAAGTTATTTCAGAAAAGTGACAGAAGGGAGTGGGATAAAGAAAAATGGTTCCTGGAAAATACCAAAATACTATTAGCACATTGTGTGTGATTTTTTTGGATGTTGATGATACCTCAGAGAGATGCTGAGCAGAATGGGATTTTGGACTGGTATTAAAAACAATCTGTCTAGCAAGGAATAGCCCAGAAATCTCCACTTAATTTCCTGGTAAACCAACCATTAACATCTTGTACTATAGAACCAAAGGAGGAAGCAGATCTGTAAAATGGAAAGTCTAATTTTGGAGGAATAAGAAATTGAATTCCTTCCCATATACAGATTTTATATGTCTTATATATATGAGTAATCAAGGAAAAATAAAAGCCAGTCAACTGTACTAAAATACACAGTATTTTATTTCCCTTTTCTGTAATGTGGTTTAGTTAGTTAATATTCTGCAGATATATTGACACTTATAGCCTATAAATGGAGACAAGAAGATGTGGGCAAGGATGTATAGGAGGGTGAAGTCAAATTCAGTTATCTCTTTTATGTTGAATAGGGAAGATTACAGGTAGCTACACTTCTGTCTGTCTTTGTTTGAATGGGAGTTGAAGCTTTGCATGATTAAGAATCCTGATAAATTTAATCAAGCATGTAATCAAGCAAACATGAATCAAAGCTCCCTGCAGGTTCTCACGCACAACACCTTGAGAGGCATCAAAAATAATAATAATAGGGATGACAGATACTGGAAACTGGAGCTGTGTTGCTTTTATGTTTCTAGGGAAAGGTTTGGTTTACAATTTGATACGGAGCAAGAAGAATAATCGCATCACAAAATGTGATACCATTCAGTGCTTTAAATCACACCTTCTGGCTTGGATGAGAACTATACCATGTGAAACACCATTAGAATGCAATAAAAAAAAACAAAAACCCATAAACCTCTTTCAATAGGAAGGATAACTTCTGGGAAACTGAGGGCAGATTTAAACACACTACAAAATAAGTTCTGAAGTTCCTTCAAGTGTCCCATTAGCTTTATATGATCATAGTATTCCCGTCTGACCTTACAGTCTCTGCCAGCTGCAGCAATTTGTGGTCACTGACTAATCTACAATTTATAACTCTGTTTCAGCACCTTTGTTTCCTCCCCTCCCACTTTCCACACTATTTAGCATAGTGATTGATAATACACATAGACATAGATTTTTATGGGAAGCCAAACATTATTGTCCATTCCTGTAAGCTGAGTAGAAAATAATGCAGGGAATCTGGAAATTCAGTAGTTTGCTTATTACTCAACATGATTTGTGTGATGGCTGGGTGTGTACTGGTATCTTATGATTAAGCACAGGTTAATGTTATCTCTTCCCCTGTACCCACTCCATTTTAATTTTACCTGAATGTCAGATCAAACTTGAAAAGTGGTGTTTTGTACTATCCCTGGCTGTCAGGTATCTCTAATTTGAAGTTAAATTTTGAGTTGCCCTTTGGCCCTTGTTATTCTTGTATTCTGATTCACACCATATGTTCAGGTTTTTATACCATGTTAGCCTCTTTTTAGATCATTGCAAAGTATTCAGTTCTTCTGATGAACAAGTCTTTCTTTTCAGGCAAAACCTGTTATCTTCACTTGAGCATTTAAGAGTTTCCAAATTGAAAGGTAATTTCATGATAGGTTTTCAGATATAGTTATGGAACAAAATGCCTATAAGCCCAGAAATCGATTTCTGGAAGAGAAGAAAAAGCTATCTATATCATCTATATCTATATCTATATCTATATCTATATCTATATCTATATCTATATCTATATCTATCTATCTATCTATCTATCTATCTATCTATCTATCTATCTATCTATCTATATCATGTATATATATATGTATAACATCTATCTATCTATCTATCTATCTATCTATCTATCTATCTATCTATCTATCTATTAAAAATGTTTTCCCCATCTTTTCATCTGTATTATAATGGATGCCTTGTGCTCATCAGATTGGAGAACTTGTGGTAGTTGACTAATGTTAGTACTGCAGTGCTTGCCACAAAAGGTTCAAAGGGGATCTATTAAACGAATTCATTAAAAAAAACAATTTACAGCACAATCTTAAGTACGTCTATTGAGAGACAGCTTCTGTTCTCAAGTACCACTTGGACGAGTCCTTGATATTATACAGCATTATTTTAATAGCTCCAACTCTCCTATGTATAGAAGATGCAATCAGGAGCTGAAGAATGTGAGGTGATCTTAAAACATCTAAGATTTTACTAGGTTTCCTCCCCAAAAATTTTTTTAAAAATGGGCTGTTTTCTTCATACTGTTGTCAGTATTAACAGTATTAATGGACCAGAATTTTTGTTGCAGTTGTTCATATTTGAACAGATGGCATATTTGGTAATCCCAGTGCCATAGCTATGTCACAATCTCATACTTCTGCCCTGCCAGGTTTGCCTCTGCTTAACTACCCCCTCCAGTCTATCGCCCATCTTTTGGCCACCTTGCCCTCCACCACCCTGGTACCCTTTATTCCCCCTCCGCACATCCCCCAGCTGATCTCTGCTGTCTTCTTCTTTCCACTGATGATGAGGGGCACTGACCAAGATAGCTGCTGTGTCTTGCATCCTAAAGCCTTGTGAGGTCTCATTAAAAACTTGCAAGGCTTCAGGGAGACCACACAAAGGCCTTGCATACAGGCAGCAATGCTTGAGGTAGGCATGCCTCCCAAGCAGCAGAAGGAAGAAGATGGGGGGGGGGGGAGAAATTTCAGGGTAGCCTAAAGAGCAGAGATAGGAGGAAGATGGTTTGTAAGGGGAGCTGAAGTGTACCCTGCAGTTGTAAATGTGGGCAACTGGACAAGAGCCCAAATTTTTATCACATGAATGTGGGAGTGCGGTAATAACCATAATTTTGAGAACTCATCATAACTGCCATTTGTTATGCACAATTGTAATTTTTCATGGTCGCTGTGCAAATGGTTGCTAAGTGATGATTACCTGTAGATAGATCAACCAAAAGATAATAGAAAACAGCAGCATTTACCTGCCACTATTCAAGCAACTCGAAGTGGCTTAAAATATACAATTTAGAAAATGATTCATAATCAATGCAATCATTACCACAGAAAAGCATTACTATTTTAAAAATCCATGAACACTGAAAAGATAACAGGGTGAGGGCGTACTTCGGGAGGGGGGGGAATGCTACTCCGTTGAGTAGGGATGTTCCTGAGAAGCTTATTCCTCAAGACCCAGCTCTTGATTTACCATGGAGTGAGTACTCAAAGCATTCTCTTCCTTTTAGAGTATGTAGGTGAGCAGATTCTGCCTGGAAGGGATGATCCTGAAGGCAAGAAAGATCCAAACTGCATAGGGTTTATAGGTAATCACTAGCACCTTGAAGTGGACCCAGAAGCCAATGAAGATCTATGCAGATTCCGAGGAGAGAGACAGAAAGACATCACTCTTAATGGAGATGTTATATCCAGCATTTCTGCAACATGTGGGAAGCCCTATTCTGCTAAACCTCTACTGCCTATCAGCAGCTGCATCCAGTGACAATGGTAGTTTCTCCAGAGCCAGGAGAAAGGAGAGGGGCAAAGCAAGACTTAGATGGTTTCTAAGGCATCTGCAAGGAGAACCCCAGATAAAGCAATCTGCAAAATAATTGAGACTTGAGTCACGGCCTTCAACATCAGGAAAGGGCATCGATAGACCTGCTGAAGCTGGCCAAAGGCACCTTTGGATACCATTTCTATCTGCCATCCCACAGGCATAGCAAATCCCAGAAGAATTCCCAGACTCCTTAAAAAAAAGGACTCCATCTTAATGAAGAGTCTTGCTATTTCCAAGATTCTGCATTAACACCCAGACTAGCTTTAAAGACATCTCACTGCAATTCACGTAGCTCTTGATACCCAGATCTTATCCAACTGAGTAGGGTTTGACAGTCCCTGTCAAACTGTGTTCTCATATAGGCTGTGCACACACCTGCACTTTAATAATTGTCTGTTTCAACAATCGTATCTAACTGGCAGTCCATATAGCAGCCTTGAAAATTGTTGCACTGTCTTTAAAGCCCTAAGAATTGGTGCGGATAGCAACCTACATTTCATATCAACTTGTATTCGTTTCTTTCTCCTCTATCCCGTCTGAGTTTTCCATCGCTCAACTACCCTGGATGTTTAACCTTCTCTTTCACCGTCTTTATTTTTAATGTTACCCCAAATGATAAGAAAGTTCAATCCCATAGGTTCTCCTTTCCCTAATTGCCACTCCATTCATCTTCTAAGACAAGGGCGAAAAGTTTCCTGAGGGAGATCCTCGAAGTCAAGAGCCGGAAAAGGTAGAAACTCGCGCGGGAGGGGGGGGGAGGACGAGAGAGAGAGAGAGAGAGAGAGAGAAAGAGAGGGAGGGAGAGGGAGAGCGCAACTGGCCGATGGGGAAGGAAAGACAAAAAACAGAGAAGGGGCCAACGCAATCAAGAAATAAAAAAGCAGACGCCAAGATGCCAAGCAGGACGCGCCCGCTCTCTTCTGCGCGGGACTGAGAGCCACGAACAATGCAACGAAGGGACGGCGCAAGGGCCCGGGGGGCGGGGCGGGGCGGGGCGGTGGAGCTAGCTGTAGCTGGCGACTCCGGCTCTCTCAGGCTGCTGGGCAAAAGGCTCCGCAGCCCCACAACACCGAGAGGCTGCTGCAGAGAGAGCCTGGGACCGAGCTCCAACTTGAACGCTGGCAGGCAGCCGAGGTCTGCAACGTCGTAGCGGCTTATTCCTTAAAGTTGCCCTAGCCCGCGCCTTGGGGAAAGCTGTGCTAGCGCTGCCTGCGAGTAGGAGATCGTGAAGCGGGCTGGATTGCCTTCCGTTACTCTGAGGGTAAGACAACCTGAGAGAGAGTGTGTGTGTGTGTGTGGGGGGGGTCTTCTCTCTTCTCGATTACTTTGCCCTCGCCGAAACAGCTTCTCGCTACCCGCCCTGCCTCCGCGCAGCGGTCCGGCTGCTGCCCGAGGCGCTGCTTCTCACGTGTTCCAGAGATCGCTAGGTCTCGGTCAGTTCCCCCCCCCCCCGGAAGGCGAATAAAATTAGTGTCCCCCTCGGGGAGCTGCGGCTTCTCCGGGTGTTCTGAACAAGTCCATACTGACAAACGGGTGAGCCCTATCAAGCCGTGAAACCTCCCAGGTGCTTAACGAGAGATCCGGCTCTTCGCTACTCAGCGGCTCCCCAAAGGCGCCACCCAGTCCTCAGCCTGTCGCTAGAGGGATCCCACCGGCTTCCTCCTCCCCTCCGCCGCCTTTTACTAAGTTCCTCGTGATCTTTCCCACTCCCTACCAAGGGTCCGAAAGCGGGAGGGCAGGCGGGCTCTTAATTCTCCTCGAGGTCTTTCACCCCTCTCTATTTTTAAACTCGCGTTTTATGGTCGGAGCTTAAGTCTCGGGAGACTGCCCAGATGTGAAGCTTGGTGTGGACTCCCCCAAACGCTTTATCACGACGCGCCCGTTCAGCTTTCTTCTCTCTTCTTCATCCTGGAGTTGCAAAATCTACCCCGATTCCTTTCTGATGTTTCCTTTTGTAAAAGGAAAAGGTAAATGACAGCCCTCCGCCTTTCTACGCCCCGTCGGTTGTTTTCTTAAGAGCCAACTGAGGCCGAGTTAAATTGGTAGGGCTGTGCTCCATCCTCCACCCTCAGAAGGTTTGGGGCATTTGAAGTCGGTATTATAGCGAGGAAATGGAGGCAAAGAGAAATGTGTTATAATAGGCTCGGTTTTGCTGTTTGTTCTCTTGAAGAGTCCTCCAGATAGTAACCTATGCAGGGCTTCTTCCATTCTATTTCCCCCTTCAAACTTCTGCACATGCTTTGCTTTCAGTTGTGCTTAGATTTGATAATAGAAAAGAAGTGTTTAGAGATTCTGGATTATGCAAATCCAAACTAAATATTTCCTAAATACTATAGTTTTGGGGGATATCCTCCCCTTCTGCTACAGTTCATTTTCATATTCAATTTCCTACCCTTATTCAACAAAGCCTGCATTTTAGCTTCAAAAGTTAATTTAGTAAGCTGTTGCTCTTGTCTTTTTAACTTTTATTATTTCTACTAATGGTAATGGTGGAAGTTTTTCTTCTTCAAATAATTACTTTCTTTTTGCAAATATTCCTATTATTTCATCTATTCTCTAGCTTGGATCTCCATGTTGCTAATAAGCATCACGTGCCAAATGCATGTTTTAACATTTGTTAAAGTTCAAGAAATAACTGTAGTAATCATTCAGTAATATCTTTTTGCATCACCCTCCTGCCCTGCAAAGAGCTAGCAAGCAAGCTGAGTTGAAAATGTGGCGGAGAACAATTGCCTATATATAATGTATTTGTGAGAAGATGACATTTGTGTTGTTTGTAGCTCTCAATCTTGCTTTCTTCCTTTAACTGTTTGTACAGTTCATACTTCCTGAAACCTTCAGTTTTGAAGTAGCCTTTCCCTTTCCCAGCTTGCTGTCCCTCCAGACATTATTGGAGTATAATTCCCAGCAATCTAGCCAATTGCTGTTGGAGGCACCAGAAGGGGAAAGGTTGTTAAATGAGCATGCTTATCTTTGCATTTGTCAGAGTTAATAGAATTGTAGTTCTCAATAATATTGTGAGTGTTATTTCTACAAATGAGTTTAGGAAAAAAGGCAAGGGTTACCCATCTGGAAAATTCTTTATGAGATTAGTTGGACAGTGGAATAATTTATCCTGAAATTTCTACTCTTCTCCTTGAGGCTGTATGATATGCTTTACCTAAGTACTGTTTTTAGGCATGAAGTCAGTGGTGGGATTCAGCCAGTTCGAACAATTCAGCAGAACCAGTAGTTAATTTTTTGTTGTGCAGGCCCAGAATGGACTTCCAGGAACGGCATCCACACAGAAAACTGGTTGTTCAGATATTTAAATCCTACCACTGCATGAAGTATAGGCTAGGCTGCAACCAATTCAAGCTTCAGGACTCAGGCCCTGTGCCATGCTAGATGAACAAAGAAAATTAGCATGAGAGACGGAGATATAGGATTCAATCTGAATTGATCACCAGGAGCAGAGGTTTAGTCTTCATGCTAGATCAGTGGTTCTCAACCTTTCTAATGCCGCGACCCCATAATACTGTTCCCCATGTTGTGGTGACCCCCAACCACTTATAATCACCGGGTGCCAGGGGCGTGGCCAAAGAAAAGGGGGAAAAATGGCGGACAGCCTTGTTTGGCGACCCCCGTGAAATGGTCATTCGACCCCAAATGGGGTCCCGACCCACAGGTTGCGAACCATTGTGCTAGATGGACTACAGCATGAATCCAAAAGATTAGAATCTCTGATCCTGGTGACCAACCCAGATTGGATCCTGCAACATTATCTTGGAATATGCATATCTGCCTTCATTCGTTGGAATATGGTTTAGCAATATGGTGGCTTCTTAAGTATGAAGAAATGTAGGTGGTGTTTGTGTGGGTAAAATATGGACTTGTCCAAAATAATTTAAACCTTATAGGGCAACACTATGTCACATTCCTTATTGTACATGGTCTCTCTGGTCAGGGACTCCCAGTAGAGGACCTTTGCTGATACAGAAAGAACTAAGTAGGGTTAGATCTTGTTACTGCTTGAATAAGAGACATCGGGAGATGCAGGACTTGTAGATTGAATGAGGAATTTGGAAAATACGTCCCATTGCATGTTAGTTGAGCATAAATGATTAGAGATAGGTGGCTCTGTAAATGACCAAGCCTTATGCTATGAAGGACATTATAGATGATGACCAGCATCTTGAATTGTACCTGGACATTGACTGACAGCCATTGCACTCACATAACAGTGATGACATATGGGCATAAGAAGTGTTCATTATTACTTGCACCACTGTATTTTGGACCAGATATAATTTCTAAATAATCTTCAAGGGTAGCGCCATATGGTAGAATACACAAGCACAACCATGGAGCAAAACTGAGCTATGACAAACCTTTCAGAAATGCAAAATTATTTCAAATTGTCAAGTGAATGCTGTGATTGAAGAAACCATTATGTGCTAAGGGATGTTTTTTGTCAAAAACCATAAATGCCATAAATGCTAAAAACATCCTATCACTCTGGGATCATGTTGCAGATGACTGTAAATCCAGATTGGTAGTGGCAACATGACCATTGGAGGGCAACTGTTGGAATTTTGAACTAACTCGTAAGTTTGGGGGGGGTCCATCATAAGTTGAGGACTTCCTGTAAACATGAAAACACTGATTGTGCCTGATGTGGGAGAATTACAAAGACTAATTCTCTCAAGTACAGATGCAAAAGTAACAAACAACCTTTTTGTCTCTGAGAATCAGACATGGCAATGGATGATGAATTTGTATCTCAGAAATCTGTCAATCGATGTACTCATATACATGCATAGCTGCCTCCTCTATCTCTACATGTAGGTAGTTTTCATTTAGTGACTGCCTCAGGTAATCATTTGCAGATACAGCAGCAATGAAAATGTAACTTGCAACCAATGCCATTTATAATCTTTGTAGCATCCCTCTCTGTCACAAAACCATTACAGTTTGTATGGATTGTTTTGTACCTTACCTATTCCACCCTCTCCAAAGAGTAGAGACATTTCTTAAACAAGTAGAGAGATTGCTTAAACAAGTTGTTTTTCCCCAGTTGCAGAGCTCCCTAAAATGTGCTAACTGCATGTTAACAAGGTCTCTGTGACTTAAATTAGTTGATTAGAATCCTCTGTCTCTTTGCAACTCTTTGAAACTGATAACACCCTAATCCAGACATGTTAAAATCGTGACATCACGTGACGTCATGCAACATATCGGCACTGTTTTGCCATTGCCGGCAATAGAGTGGGTACAGCTTCTGCATGATGCGTCTGGTCTGTGGACCTGCAGTTTGACACCCCTGCCCTAATCAGTTTCATATTAAGAGACTTCTTTTACCTCCTAAGCAACAGGCAGGGAAGATGTTAGACAAACATCCTGGCATATTCCTTTCAATTTGTATTCCCCACTGTGTGCCTGTTTACTCTCTGGTAATCTCTTCCTCTCCAATGAATGTAAATGCAAACATTAATTCTCTTTTTTCTAATTATATCAGCATTGAGGTGAACATTCCAAAAGTTTGGAAAGTGGGGAAAAAGGGCTATAAGATTTACCCAGCTTCTTTATGAGCTGGGTTCTGAAATCCTTTGCTACCATTTGAGCTCCATTAGCTGGGTGATGTCCTTCTGACACTAATGCAAAGAAAAGTTGTAAAATTGTAAGCACAATCGCATGATTTTTTACTTAATAATTGCTTCATTTAATACCGAGTTGTTGGTTCCAATTGTGGTTGCTAAACCAGGACTATATAAGTAGATAATTGAAATATCACTAGTTCTACTCGCTGTTGCTTTATACCTGTTTTCTCCGACTAGATTTTAGGAATATGGAGAAGCCCTGCAGTTAATATAAAGCCTAGTGCAGCTTGGGATTTGGTTATCTGAAAAAGCTTCTTTTCTGCCTGGCCAGGAGTTAGAATTGAATGGAGAAGGATTATCAGATGTTTGCTATGCAGCAACTCAAGAGATAGCTTTCTTGAGACACATGCCCCAATAATGGATTTTATTTTGTCTAGGGTTGGCACTGACTCTGTTATTTTGGCATTAATTATAAATATACTTGTTCATCCAGACTTTTTGATTGAATATCTTCTGAGTGTGTCAGCCCGTAATATTATGATGCCAATCTATTTATTTGGTAATTCTTAAAATGGTGTTTGTGTTCTGGTAGCTCACTCTGGAATTACATTCTGTAGAACACTCTTTCCCCAGACATCTGCCAGGCCTTCTAGAAGGCCTCTTCCCATAAGTGTTGGAGTGG